TTGCACCAAATCTCAACCATTTGGATACACTCCATGCAAGGACTCATGTGATTCACGTCAACTTTCACATGAGATATCGATCACGACGGACGAGACCCGTAATTTCCTCTCTCTACACACCAATGCGTGATAAGTGCCATCATTAGTGATCAGACTTATTCTGAACACTTTGTTTTATTTCTTGTCAATGAAACTTGACAAGTGAGGACATGTGACTTGCTACTTATCAATGGATGATGGATGTTGTCCATGTGGATTGAGGTAATGTCTGGTTTTCATACTCTAAAGCCGACGAATCCAGCAATCGAACCTTTTTAAAAGAGAGAGAAATGAGGGCGTGATTTTGTGTACGAGATAGACTGGTGAGATGAAGTTCATGGGAGCCTTAAGTATTTAAATTGACTAATCTGAATTTCTAAGTCCGTTAGCTCCAGAGTGTGATTCAGAGATGATCTCATCCCAATAATATATGCCCAATTAATTCAAGGGCTTAAGAATGTGTTGAATGTGATATCAAACGAGGCAATTGCAATTGTTTCACCCTCTTATCCAATTCCTCGTGCATTGCTTTTGTATCTTGCTTTTATTCTTGATATATTAAATGTACAAAAAAAAAAAAATTAGAATTAGAATCAAAGAAGTAGACGCGCTGCTGGCATAACCAATGTTTGCTTAATGTAATTTTAAGAAAAAGAGACGTGTGGGCAGGGAAACTCCTTTATGCTTCTATATATTATTGACTAATGCTTTATCAAATTTCAATCCATGATTTAAGAAACAGCAGGCAACAATCAATCACTGTAATCTTTGAATAGTTGGTGCCTTTATCTAAATATAAAATAAATATGCATGGCACACTTCTTACTGTAACTTTGCAAACTTTGGTCCACATAATTAAGCTTCAAGATCACGCTTTGCACACAAATGAGCCAATCATTGAATTCTTCCACATCTTCAAATGTATCCATGCAAACATCTAATACCAATTGTAATTAGCTTGTATGGCACTCAATTAAGTAGCTAGCACTTTGATAAGTCAGATTTCTTTCCCTCAAGAGTTCAATTATTATCCTTGAGACGAGCAAATAAATAGACACTTACTTGTCTTGAAGCAACTTGTATTTTAGCTTATTGAAATATATAAACAAAAGCAAATGAGGATTTGTTGAGTTGGTAAGGATCGTTCTCTTTACTAGACCAATATTTACGTTTGAGTCCTGTTGCCGGAAATCCCTCTTAGCGGGACGATCTGTAAAAACCAAAAAATGAATTAAGACTCTCTCTAGAAGTTTTTTAAAATGCTTGTAGGGTGCCTTGGCCCTGGGATTGGGTAGCTTTCTCTCCCCCTAAACTTTTTCAACAAGAAAAGAAAAGAGATAGACAAACAAAGACTGGGTTGTAAGTCTTAACCTAGAGCATTGTTTTATTATATTTTATATTTCTTTAAAGAAGGTTCACACAAAAGATTGAAGGCTAACAATACAAGAAAAAATACGATATGGTAGCTAACAAGACAAACTTAGGGCTCTTTAAGATTATTTAAGATTGTTTATAGGCAGGCTAAAATCACTTCCAAAATTTAGAACACCCCTCTTTTCTCTCTCCAAGCCACCCACCCCCCTTTTCTCTCTCCAAGCCACCCACCCGGGAGAGAGAAATGGATGCCCCGGACCACGGTTAGGACAAGAGAAAGATAATATGGACATTTTATATGCACGTGTGACTACACAATCACGTGATTCGACAAATGAACTCTAAAATTTATCCTAAACAACCTTTAAATAATGAAACCACGGTAGCTAGGGACTGAAGAAAAGGCGATATTGGGGCCTTGTTTATGTTTGTGTATGGTTGCATAACTACGTGATTCGGCTGACAAACCCTAAAATTTGCCCTGATTAAACAAACCCTAAAATTGTAAAACTCATTAATCATTCCGACTAGATGTGGGTTGGTGATGTTCTTCACTAGTTCTTGTTGATCCAAACTCCCTAGGCCGAACCAGCCCAATGTTATCACCCCAACAGTTGATTACTATTTGCCCTGACAAGCCCAAACAAAAAAGCTTGCAAAGGGTTGCAGCACATATTGCTCTCTCTCACTCGAAATATTTCCTTCGCATGCATGGCAAAATAAGCCAGAAACCAATAAACAAAAACACAAATTTTTTGCACATAATTTTGGAAGTTTTAACTAAACACTCTTGGCAGTGTTCATTTTTAACAAAAAAAAAAAATTACTCTAAAAAGTCACTCCCGATACTATTTACTTACAATATTTTTTTGTCATTTTGATTAAAATTTAAAGTTTTCAAATTTTTTTCATTAATTTTCGTTATAATTTTTGCCAATATATAATGTGCAATTGTTTTGTTTGGGTGTGGGAGGGACCATGTTTTTTCTGGTACGCATGCAAGCTGCAACTTCTGGTTCCGTGTTTAGGGTTTAGGTCTTCATTATTTCTGCAGGCAGGTGAATTGTTGATCGACATGAAGCCACGTTTCCTCAGAATCCTTTGCTTCTTCTTTTATCACACGTTTCTGTCTGTGACTTCCGTCTGTCAATCCATTTGTTACAGTTTTGTTTTTTTTACTTTTTAATACGCCAAATTTTTATCCATCCCCACTGTTTACTGCAGATCTCACATAACTCTTTTGCCAAATGGTAGAGAGGACGAGATCAGATCTTTCTATTCTCTCTTTCATGTCTTCCTCCAGAGCTTAATCTCACTGGTCATGGCAATCACAGTGCCCATATATTACTATGTCACATGTCATCTGGTTTATGAGTCATCATGCATTCCATGTTGTCATCTTGATTACGTTGATAGCATTAACAACGAATAAAATTTGTGAATTTATACTTGCGTTTCATTTTTACCGTTTTATTCATTCCCGATATCTTAATCATTGATATAGCAAAAAGATTATACGAAGTGTAAGTGAGCGTACATCCCTCATCAAATAACTAAAAGCATTGCTCAGTATAGTTAAAGCAATCTCAAATTTTCCTTCTTATTGCTAATTTGTTTTCCGTGAAACATTAACCATATGAACACGATGTCTACGTGCTGAGTTCAACAACCCACAAACAGTTAAAAAACTATCTCAATAATAATTAATCCAAGAAATCTCGTGGCAGAAGGCCTTAACTATATAACCTGACTAATTGCCGGTTTAAAGAGCAAGAATATATAAGTTCAGAGACCACTTAAAGCATTGTATAATAAACATGGCAATGATGTATTAATGTGGACCATGAACTATATACACGTTAATCCTTCTACACTTCTGTCTCATGATCTCTGTGGGTCCTAATTGAATCTTCAAAGCCGTATAATCATTTACAACTGCGCCTACCCATTACCCACCACCTTTGATAACCCGGAAAATTTTTGATGTGTCCAAAATACAAAACGATACGTCATGTGTTATTACAAAAGTTGAGGAAAGTCGGAAATTTTTCAATGTGTCTAAAATACAAGACGGTATATCATAAGCTATTATAAAAGTAGAGAAAAGTTTCTTTTCTAATTATCAATCTAATTATATAATGATATATAACGTCTATGTATGTTTTCAGCACTGAAAAATCTTTAAAACTATAATTGCATGTGGCAGTCTGTCTGGCCAATGGATCTACAGTCCCATACTGATTGGACGTTACACATTTGTCGTTCTTTTCACATTCACATGCACTGGACGCTTGTGAATTTACATATAACAACAATTTTCATGACAGCAATCATAACATGCGGCGCCAGCATCCCTACTTAAAAACACTTTCCATATTAAAATGATTACGTTAAGAACTTGCCTACACTTGGACATTGATTTTTTTTTTTGTTTATTATTCTTGGTCAATGAAGCATTTAGTTGTTAAATCATATGACTAGGATTCAATTCAATAGCTACGATCTAGGGCCAAAAATCTCATCGTACTAAGCAAGCAACTAACGCGATACACGTGAAAATCTTATATCTCATGATGTAATTTATTCATATTTTATTAATATATTTTATTTTTTATTGATAACATATTATTTGATGTGCAAATTTGATTTAAAAATTTAATCTTCCTAACATTACTCTCGTGATAATATCATCTTCATTGTTGTTAAGAGCTTATAAGAATGACTTATGATTCTTATAAGGATTGTGCTATCGGGAATTGGATTCCATCTGGATTCTCTTTGTAAGGATATTTATTCAAAATTAAACACATAAAGTACCAAATGTTTTCTGGTTGTACGATGAACGAATAAAATTTGAGGATCCTTAGGATCCTGACAAAGAGAGTTCGGCAATGATCCTCATCAGTGCTTTCGGCACATTTCTTATTCATTTATATCATTCTATTATTTTTCAATTCATTTAATTTGACAATCATATATTAAAAGAAATATAAAAAATGAATTAAAAAGTATGTATATGGCACTACCATTATTATAAAAGCTAAATTTCTATCAAAATCACGAGTACCATATTAAATTATAACAGTATTAAAAAAAATGAATTAGACTAAAAAACCTCAGGGATCACAAGATATATATATAATTTTTTTTTTGGGTCAAAAAAATATTTTTTTATTCACAAGTGCAGACTGCAGAGCACAGCAGTGGTAGTACTACGCTGGATTTTGAGAGATTTTTCTGTTTGATGGTGACACGGAATGGTAAATTATGTGTCATTATATAAATAGTAGAGTATATGTGTTAAAAAGTTAATAACTTAAAAAATAAAATTTCTCACCACTTACATAAAAAATCACATAATATATCATTTGTGTTTCTATCATAACTAAAAATTTCTTCTAGATTTCCTTTCTGTCCACTTGTTTTCTTTTGCCATGTAAAATTTCTTCTTTTTTTTTTGACAGTTTTGTCCTCCTCTCCTCATCTGTGTCTACTGCTGTTTCAATTTTACAGAAACAGGGAGAGAAAGACCCTACAAAAATGTCCTGCATTGCATAATAAATACATTTCTTTGACCCTCCAAAGTTCCCATCCTTCCAGTATTTTCCTCAACAAACCCCCCCGGCCTTGAGCTCTCTTTACTCTCTCTCTCTCTCTCTCTCTCTCTCTCTCTACCCCCTCTTTCTGTCTCTCCTGCTTTGTATAGCTACCAAACTAAGACCTCCACCCACCATTGTTGCATGCCATGTGACCGCAAATTCCAGCAACAGAAACCCCACAATGCCTTCTCCAATTTAGCATCTGATTGCAATCTCGATTGAAAGTTTGTATTTTTTTAAATGGGTTGCTGTTTGAGTACCACAGACGCCGGAAAGTCCTCCGCTTTCGGTCCTCAGAAGCACCGCCATTCGTTGGCGGGAACTGAAGAGTCAAGATCTGACGCAGCCCGGGAGAGCAGAGCGCCGCCGCCAATAGACGAAGAGACAGTGAAAGAAGTGCTTTCGGAGACACCGAAACCCAAACATCCACAGCAGTCTTCGCCGCCGCCGCTATTCAAACACGAGCCAGTACAAGATCGAGATCAAGGAAAAAAAGCAGCTTCCGAGGAAGAAGAGTTACCAGTTTTCGTTTCTTTGAAAACTAAAATCGACCCGGAAAAGATTGAGCAGAAAGTACCCATTTGCAACAACAATGACGGCGGCGGAGAGGCCTCGGAGTTGTCGGAGATTTGCAGCCTGAGCGAGAGCATGTCGGGCACCACCGTCACCAGAGACGACGACGAAGAGGTTCATCAGAGGTTCGTCAACAGGTCGCCGGTGAAATTTGGACAAAACCGGGACTCTTCAATGGGTCAAAGGAGAGACCAGGTCGTGGGTAAGTCTCCGTCTCGGATAACCGCATCCTCTCCTGGTCGGAGATATGGGCCAAATGGGGCTGGTTCAGTGAGGTTGGTTCAGAGCAGAGAACCAAGCCCGAGTAAGCAGCCAATGTCCAGGCGTGGGTCGAGACCCGAGTCAAACCGTCGCGAACCAGGTGAGAGTTCGGGTCGTAGGTCAAGGTCACCGGCCACGAGGGTTACAGATGGCGGTGGGGTTAATAGAGCCAATGTGGGTCGGAGCCCCTCCGCCAGGAAATCCGGAAAGTATCCTGGTCGAACCACAATTGGCCCAATTGAGAGCTCGAGTTCTTGTCCGATCCGGAGAGTGGCTGAGGAGCCCATCAACGAGGGTAACTGGCCCGCAAATGAGTCCCTCGACAACCCACTTGTTTCCTTGGAGTGCTTTATTTTCCTATGAAGTGCTACAAATGAAGCGTTACGATATTTCAAGTCAATTACAAAGACGGAACCTACAATAGCTGCATTGATGTTGTCAAGTTAGAAAATAAATATTTTTCGGATCTCTTCTACCAAATCCACCGTGCATCCCATCAATCAATCTAAACTTTTGAAATTTGATTTAGCAATTAAAGTTATTATAATTTTTAAAGGGTTTTTTGTTTTTAATTGTTGAATCAAATGTTAAGAGTCCGGATTTATTATAATTTTTAAAGGAATTTCTCATTTTTAGTTATTGAATCAAATTTTAAGAGTTCAGATTGATTGACGAGATAGATTTGATGATTCATTTCCGTCAAGTTACTCACCTAGATATGGACCTCCATCTCCTATTTTGGTTTAGAACATAGAAGCTAGAACCCCTAGTGTACTTTTCTACTTTCATGGATCTTCAGTATATGTAAATACTTGCAATGTTTAAGGGTAATATGGGAATTGGACGGTACGATTTTGCTGAACTGCAACAAAGGAAGTTCCTGGCTGAGGAGGGCAAATGGAGATTTGATTACCTAACAGACGGTGTCACAGATTTGTATGGATACTTGGACGCGTAATCAATGGCTATTTTTAGGGTTTCAGCTGCTACATCTGCATATGGTCAGTCCATTATATTTTTCCTTGTACTAGTTTATGTAAAGTCTCAATTCTGCACCAATAATTCAATACGTATGGTCCTTGGGACTATTGATTGATTTCTTGCACCAACAATACTGCCAATTTTCTACTACTCACCTTCAGAAGTAAGATTTTCTTCGCTCTAAATTCTTATATTTTTGTCTTTATTCTTATTTCAATAGTTACTAGTATATGATAACATATTATGTGTGTGTGAACGACCATCTATCTCCTCCTACGTCTTATTTAAGTACAACCGTTTCAGTTTATTCAAACTATCCAAAAAACATCATGATTTCATTTATATGTATGAAAAAATGATGGTGAAATAATTTTTCTTAATAATAAATGCATATTTTTTATCTTATGTAAATATTTCAATATAAAAATATTATTTTACCCTTTTTATGTAAATATTGTGTATAAAAAATGAGGGTAAAATAAAAAAAAAAAGGAAAAAAGTTTAAAACATACAAAATTACTATTTTACCCTCATCATGTTAACATTATGTATTCCAAAGTGAGGGTAAAATTAGAAGAAAATGAGATAAAAAGTTGACAAGTCATATTCTTTTAATAGAATAAATAATTATATCACGTCAATATTTTATGTTATAAAAAGAACGTGTGTGAGGAGCGGAGAAAAAGTGAGGAGATTTGAAAAAAACAGAGAATCCTACTTCCTCTTGAATCACAAATCGTTTTATTTGAAGTTAATAATATAATGTATAATGTCACCTGAAAAGGTTAAACGAACAGTTCGTATGTGTACAAAAAAGTACTTGGCTCTGTGTCTAGTGAGTATGCTTGCAAACAATCAAATTTTGTATGCTTGCAAAAACTTATTTCTTCACAATTTTAAAAAGAAAAGTACTTAGATCCCTTAGACGTTCGAAGTTATTCTTATTTTTATTTTATTTTTATAACAAATCACTAGTTTATACATGTGTATGAACTCTTCTTTTTATTATTTTAACGAGTTACTTTTGTATATGTGTCAGATTGTAACTTTTAATAAGTAGAAACAACTTATTCCATTTAAAAAACTAAACAACATAATATTTAAATGAGCTAATCTCGAATATGAGTCAAACTTTTATTTTCAAGTTAAAATAATGGTAAAAAACATGTGAAAATTAATTGGCAACATAAAAAATGACGAACCTCTCTTAAAAGTGTTATCAAGTTTGAGAAATTTGTAGTATATTTGAAACATAACCCGGTATATCAAGTACTATAATACAAGTGGTTGAATTTTTTTCTTAAAGTATCTAACCAATTATATTATAACAATTATATTATGACACTTAATGTATGAGATCGTGTTTTCGGCACATTGAAAAATTTCTCGTCAGATTGCAGTGCAATTGTGTTAGAGTTTTAGAATAATGAAAATAAATGGTCAATTAGAGAATGTGGTTTCAATAATTTAAAGGAGCCTTGTAATTTGTGGTTTCCTTGCTACTTGACCTTGTTAGGCTTGTTTGTACACAACCAACCAGACAGAGCATGAAAATTTGCATCTCATTCTCATTCTTTGGCCACTTCTTTTGGGGACACCAAACCTAGTAATTAATTAAAACAATAATTTGCAGCTTATCATCATTCACAACTTTCAAAATTGTCATTTGGTCTTTCATTTTATATTTTTTGAACAAAGTTTGGCTGCTTAAAAACAAGCAGGAGCTCCTGCTCTCACGCAATAACAATTCGACAAATGTCTAAGTTATTAGTTCAAGTTTTAATTTTTCATTTTTTTAACACTTATCAAGTTGTTATTGGGTACGAAAAGAAATTCCTGCTTGTTTTTAAGCAGCCAAGCCTTTTTTTTTTTTTTTTTTTTTTTTTTTTTTTTCCAATAGCGAGAAATGCATTGTGTTTGATTTGCAGTACCCGTAACAGTTCTTAAATTATAAAATGAAAAATATTTTAGAGGATTGATTAGAAGTGAGCAATTTGGAAATTGGAACTTACTTGGACTATATGTGGGAAGGAAAACTCATTTACTTTTTGTAGCCTTTGCGGAGACAATTTGATCATAGAAAGTAGTTGTATTCCTAGTTGAATAATGCTTGGTTGTTAAAAGAAGAGTAGCAAGTTCTCCTGAAAAATCAATTGAAAATTGATAGCGTGTTGTAGTGACGTTGGTTCAAGTTTTGAACTCTTTAAATATATGGCCACGTATTCATTTATAATCGGATACTTGTTTGTTTTAACGGGACTTACTAGTTACTACTCTTCTTTCTGGCAGCCAAACACTATTTTTGGACTTTCTCATAACTTTTTTCCGGTGTCCTTTTTCATGCAACTCAATTTTTTAGCCATCATATCTGTGAAATTGGATAGTCAGACGTTTGAATTACTCGGGTTGGATTATAGTACTTGGTGGCACAGATTCATGGTGATCTTAGCTGGGCCTTCAAGTGAAGAAAAATCCAGAATTTTGAAAGTTTTTGGGTCAAAATTGGGTATGAATGTGTTCAAAAGTATCACTAATGGACTATAACATATTTTTAGGCCCAATTTGTATCCCATCCAGGAAAAATTGCTTTCTTTTCCAATCATTCAAACTCTAGCCGCACTCAGTTTTCACTTTGCTACGGGAAGTCTATAAAGAAACGTTGAGACCTTATCCCAAACCAATTGACAATACGGAAAATAGCCTAATTTCTTATAACCATATGCAATAATCATTAACTTTTCAATGTGAGACAACTCTACACATCCTCATACGCTGTTAATGTGTGGTGAAACTTAATCTACAAGTTAAGTTATCCGGTGACATAAAGCATATGCGACATTTGCCTTTGCAGGTGCGCTAACCTACTTTGATATCATAAGTAAAGTTAAGATTCCATATCAAAACCAATTAGCAATGATGGGAATTCCTCGCAACTTATAAGCTTATGAAACGTTCTTGACAACTCTCCAAATCTAGAGTTCAAATCTCATTGACGATAGTTGTACGTTTTAAGTGAATCTGAGAAGGGTGGCTGGATCTAACGGCTCTAAGTGCCGGAGTACGACTCAGGTGAACTGTAAAGAAAATTTAGTTACCCTCGGCATATAACAACTGGATGAATAAATCTGATATTACTCAATAGTCAATACCAATCATAAACTGCTTACACTTTACAGAGAAACTTATGACTTTAAATCAATCTGATGGGCATTAAAATCCATCTCCAAGGATTCAAACTCACATTTGGAAAATGGCATATACAGAATCTGGTGCTCTTGCCTGAAGAAAAATTGGGCAATTTGGAGTTGTGGTCTTCAAATTCTTCTGCGTCAACAGAATTCGATACGAAAAAAGCTGGGCGTTTCGTGTTTGGTTTTGTACTCGTCAACTTGACTTTGCACTTATGCTCGAGGCGGAGGTTGAGGTGGGGGGTTTGGCAATGAAATGTGTTGATGTTGAGGTAAAAAAACTTGTTCTGTGAGGCGCGGCACGGGGGCTGGGTGTGCAATGAAGGTGGGGATATCGTCCCCAGGCATCAACACTGAAACTCCACTGGCATACACAGTCATCTGCATAAAATCAACACAATGACAAACTGATGAGAAGCTTGCAGAGAGTCATAATTCGACAATGTATCATACACAAACTGGTCATTAGACGAGTTAGTCAATAACTTTGGCCCAATTTTTTGGATAGAACGACTCATTTTATAACCCCTGATCCAAAGCTTTCAGGAAGATCGCATACTCGATTAATCTTATCAAACCTTTTATGGCAAAACAAATCAGTTCCTACATCAGAGGCCAAACTCCTGAGCTTGTCTAAGAGTCTCAAGTGGAAAAATGTTGTCACTCTATCATATAAAACCTAGCGAGCAAGAACGTTTTACGCGTGCTGATCCAACGCAACAACTAAAGATTGACAAATGAGGGTTGGTTTTCTACTGCTAATTAATGTTGTTATGTTCTGCACATGCTTAAGGGGACCAATCTAATTATTTAACTTAATTATGCATAACATCATGGGTATACTGTGAACCAAGATACGGATAACCTGGGATAGTGCTATATTACTCTCGCAGCAAATACTTTACATAAATAAACATACAAAAACACTCGAACCTTAAACAACATTTTTGAAACCTAATCATATGACCGTGTTCGATGATGTGTTTTTCCAACTTATAAGATAATGCTGTATTGCCACCCTAACAACTAGCATATGCATTTGACTTTTGCTTTAAAAATTATGAATCGGAGGACTATAAGTTTCTGTGAATCAGACTGACTAAAACGTTACCCTTGCCGGTCAGCAAACTTCCCGGTACAAGAACTAAGCAACAATGCCAACAAACTGAAGACAAGTTCAGAACACAATCGACCTATGTTCTTGAAATCCTACCTATTTCGGTTTCGTTGAAATCTATATCCTTGCAATTCAGCTGGCGAAGTTAAGAGAACCTTATTTTTAGGGAATCCTATGTTTGAACACTGAAACTGGATCAGACAACTGTGCCTTATGCTACTTCAAAGGACACTTGCCGGTTTCTTCGATTAGTGATGCTACTTGGATGCACAATTAAAGCTATACACAATACATACACTCCCGTTTTTCTCATTCTGCACTCTGCCTCCAGTCTCTTAATTCTCTTCTGTTTTTTTCAATCGAAAGGCTAGAAAAACAGTGTCACATGGAAAAAATGAGGCCACGAAAATTACTAGCCTGACTCCGCCTCAGGGCTCAATCCGTGCTACATCATGAAAGATTGGCGGTGACGGTCCTGAAGGCGACCGCCATTAACGGTGGTGGGACTAAAAGAACTAGTACGTATAGGACAGCCCCAAGTCGCCTTGCTTGGAACCAAACACCAACCAACCACTCAACACGCATCTACTGCGATGGACCCTTAACCACAGACCACTGTATTAATTACAGCAAAGCTTTGCTCTTGACATGTTTTAAAATATCATCGACAATATGGAAGAAAAATATCAAATCAAATGCACTATCAGAAACACCGATTGATGGGAGAGAAACTTACCTACACAACAGGGAATGCCACTGTGGCGGTATTCCCGTTGCCGGTAAGTTATTATCCAATCGATGTGTGAAAACCGTGATTAATTTGGTAACAAGAGAAAGAACACCATGATGGTTTAAGGTATGACAAGTACAAGAAATGCATAGCATGTAAATTCATTTCACTGTTAATAAAAAGTAATTTGATGAGTAAAGGGGAAGATAAAAGTTCGCAAATTAAGACAGTTGATCGGTGTTTAAAAAACCAATCTCCGTAACTTATAGTACGTTTTGAGAAGTTCAACGAAATTTTGCAGGAAAAAAAAAACAGAGAAATTATGGATTTCTAAAGAGCTAAAACCCCTCAAAACTGTCACAAATTCTATTAGTAACTAATCCCATTAGTGCCAAATGCAGAATTATGAAATATCTTAATTATGTCAGAGAGATAATCATCACCTAAACACAACAACCAAAATAACTATCCAAAACTGTCACAAAAAACAATTAGAGAAAGCAAACAAAAGCACTTTCCCTAAAAATCCAACACCATTTCCAAGTTTGCTTCTTCTGTTAAAAAAACAAGTAAAAATCACAACTTTTTCCCACAAATCACACCAAAATGCAATTCAAAACAAAACCCAGAAATCTTTTTGCAATGCAATAAATTAAACAGAAAAAGAATTTGGTTGGTGGGTTGCATACTTTTGGTGAAGGGTGGCTGAGTTTTCCATTGATACCCATCTGTGCCTCAAGATCTCCGGGGCCACGGCGGCCAGACGGCGACAAGTCCGGCGAGGTGGGCCTGAGGAACCTCTCGAAGATGGCCATGACTAAGAACATGGAGATGAGAATGGCAGTGGCTACGAACCCAAAAGACACCGCATTGACAGAGCTGTTGAAGGCAGGGGAAGGAGGAGGAGGAGGAGGACTGCATGGATGGTCTTCTCTCTGCATGTTTAGTGGAGCTCCTATTGGCGGCCATTGAAAGCTATCTTCTTTCACGACAAGCATTCTCATCTTTCACCTCTCTCCCTCTGCATATAATTTAGCTCTCAGATTTCACAGCATTTTAAGTTAGAGAGAGAAACAGAGGGGAGAGAGAGAGAGAGAGAGAGAGGGAAGTTTGTGCCAGCAGTAAAGAGTTTTACACCATTATCAAAGCTTTGGGGCAGTAATTAAACTGGTAAACAGAAAGAAAGAAAGAAAGATGAAGGGGATATCTTTACAGAGAAGTGAAAAAACAGAAGAGAAATAATTAGAATGCTATGAAATTTTGGATGGTTGCTTCCTTCCTTGCACTTGATTTATAAATAAATAAATTAAGGATTACAAATAAAATTGAAAAATAAAAAGGACAAATTGTCAATAGGTAGCCACTGAATGAGACTTTTCAGTTTTCTCTAACCAATAATGGGGATAAATGGATGGGGCTTTTAGATTAACTTTTGTACCATGGTTTTAAAGTTTTGTACATTTCACAAATTACTTTCTTTTACCAGAAAGGTTGAGGGAGTTTTCACTGCGCAACCTCTTTCCTCATCATTTTATGATGCATTTTGTATTAGATAGAAGTTTCTTGTGCATGACGTCCCGACTTATAGTGGATACTGTATTAATATTGTCACAATGTACTAATAATATGTATGTTCTTGTATTTTCAAATGTGATAACATATTATTGATAGCATAGAAACAGTTTTAACTTCTGTTTTATAGTCGGACGATGACATAGTTTGAAACGTGTTTGTTTCTTGTTAGTTTCAATATGTTTTGTTAGTGGCGATAATATCAACACATGATCAAACCATAGCGTCTGTTTCATAATCGGAATATGGGATGTCTCGGAAATTTGCTGCATTTCATTTTTTGTCTATCGAAGCAAAATTTATAGGGGCCAGTTTCACAATCATGGCCACAATTTATCTCCTTTTGTTGTATATTTTAGAGACCTCTTTTCTTCTGGAAAGATTGAAGACATACAACATGCATTAATGGAAACATCTGAGTTCCTTAGCCACAAGATGCAGAGACAGTTTTAGACCCGAAGGAATATCATTTCTGTGTGTTTATATTCAAGAAAAACACTGATCAATGGCCTGGGCCATGCCAGCTCCAACACACTTTTTCTCTCTCGTTTTATTGTTTTCCCTCTAAATACCACTGGTTTTGTGGAATTTATCAAACAATGCCACTCTTCCTAATAAAGGTGCAGAGAATGTGGTGATGCTCAAAGGGGTAGTTTCTGAAATAAGTGGCTCAAACAGGGGGCATATATGGCATTTGATGATGTGGTAAAATCCAGAGTGCTAGTTGAAGTTGTATGGAACCAACATGATGGTTTGGTCCTTGACTCCTTGCCTAAGTTTACAGTTTATTGTCTTTCAAAAAAAAAAAAAAAAAAGTTTACAGTTTATTTAATAGTCGCCGATCAGATAGATTATGGTTGGTCATCAATGAGCTTAGAGCTTTCTTACAGCTCTTCGTTGATTATATACTTTGAACTAGGGATGGGCAAATACTCATTAGTTATGAATAATCATAATTATCCACCTATTTAAATTTGACTGTTACGGTTATGGGTAACCGTTTAAATAAATAAACGGTTATAGGTATAACCGTTTACCCGTGAAATTTAAATGGATGGTTATGGGTATTACCCGATGTTATAAACGGGTACCTAGTTAACCATTTATTTTAATATATGTAAAACTAAAAAAAAAAAAAATTAGTTTCTAACTAAGTTTAGTATCCCAAGACATACTTGGTTATAATGGGCCATATAATATATATATATATGCCTCATTTGAGTGAAAAATATAGTTGATTGAATGGACCAATATTTAATATATGTGATTGAATGTACTAAAGCATTAGAGTGTTCGACAATTTTATTTATGAGTCTTTTGGAGCTTTGGCCAATTCAAGATAATGCTTACTTTGAGTTTTTAGAAACATGTTATTGTCAGCTGATGCGTACATATATATATATATATGTGTGTGTGTGTGTGTGTATTTAATTGGCCTCAAGTTTTCAATCAGTATTTGATCCAAAAATTAGAAATCAATTAAATGGTTTGGATCGATGAACATATGTTTCCAAATAAAAATCCAAATATTTATCAAATTAGCTTATTAGCAGACTGATGCGTACTTACTGTATATATGTATGTATGTATACAAGAATATTAATTAACCTACAACCATGCATGATTCTTGTAATAGATTGACCGTCAAATAATTGGGAGATATCGCATATATTTATAAATAATATTGCCGTTAATACAAAAATTCATGTTAAATATATTTATAACGGTATTTAATTGTTAAAAAAAGAAAATTATGACAAAGTTCTTTTTAATTTTCAAGTTGTTAAAAAAATAGGCAGACGGGTGAAAAAAAGAATAGTAAACGGGTTTAAAATGGGTAAACGGGTACACAATTATGGTTAAATGGGTATGCGGTTATGAGTATGGTTAACCTTTTATAAACGGTTATGGGTATGAGTATACCCGTTTATATAAATATCCAATAGATAAACGGTTATGCAGATAAAAGCTTAAACGGTTATAAGGAAATCATTACAGTTCCGTCATAACCATTGTCCATCTCTACTTCAAACTCACATCTCATCAACGATTAGAAACTGAAATCGAAAACGCTATGGAAATGGTCGTTGCTCTTATTGGCAACTTAATCCACACTCGGGGAAGGGAGGGATCCCTAAACAGTGAGGCAAGAGATCTCAGGTTGAGCTTCAAACCCCATCTCAAACCTTCCTTAACCTCCTTCACATCACTATGTCGAACTACGTTCCTACTATGCATGCCTCCCCCCAAAACCCTACGACCCCAAATGGTCCCCACAGCAACTCTTTATCCACGTGGCATATTAAGCATCCATCCCACTCCTCGACACGTGGCATGAGCTGGACTACTTCTCTCCCCTCTTCCTTTCTCTCTTCAGTTTTTTCTCTCGTTTCCCCATGACAACATTGACAAGGGACCGACATATCAGCTTCCCATGTCGGGGTTTTCAGGTCCCAACGAACATGTGGAACATCTAAAAATCCTCGAGGATTGTTCCCCCACGTCAACGACTCAGATTCAACAGCCGGCGGTTTAAAATCTGGGCCGTTGATGTATCTGAGATAGTCAAAGTCGCACGGGTCAAAAACTCATCAGCTTCAGAGATTCAGATGTTGCTACAGATTAAAGCCTATCCAGTAGAGGGACTGACGGAGTCACTGAGGTAAGAAAGCGCGGTACATTCTCTCACGCGTGCAAGCCAAAGGGGTTTGTGTGCGTACCAGCTTACCCGTGCGGTGGCGTGTCAAAGTGTAGAAATTTGTAAAAGCTCTCTGAATCTTTGACGGGGACTAGGAAAGATACTCGGAGTGCATAGGAGGGTCATGTGCGTGGTCCATCGTTTTAGAGGGCGCGGACCTCAGGGTCTGAAGGCAGGGACCACAAGGCCAGGTGTCCTCCTGCATTAGTGTTCACAGGCCGAATTTGGATGCATATGAGCTGCTGCAATGGGACAGTTTCTCAAGTTAATAGCGACTTGTGATGTATATCAAGTTGGTTATGAGAATGATCTACTTACACGAGGCACGCCAATTGTAACGGTGTTCTAAATCAATTACATTGTGTCATACTTCGGTGTGTTTTTACTCTTTTGAGCATCATAACGGGTTATTAATTTAAAATACCATCACGTTAATATATTCGGTGTAAGTATATTTTACTGCTGTAAGAGTCTGGCCATCAAGGTTGGGGACCATACGGAGGCAACAAATGACCAAAGGAGAGTGAGTGCGGCTCAGGGTGTCTCTGTTTGTGGGTGGCTCGTGCAAAGATTTGGGTTTCATGGCTTCACGTGAATGATTAATCTTTTGCTTTCGCTTTCACCGGCTGTGTTTTTGTTTTCTACCTTTCTCTTCTTTTGAGGGTGCCTAAAGCAGGGCACTCCCTTGACCACTTGAAAGCTCGGAATTTTGGGCTGAAAAGGCCTACAGCCCTAACCCGTGAAAAATAATGAGTTTGTCTGACCCAGTCCATTTTTCACCTGTAGGGGAAAAGCGCTCGCGCACACACAAAAAACTAAAATGGATGGATAGGTGGGTCCCTTTTGAGAACTGTGTATGGCCCACCAGATAGATACAACTAAATTGGGTTCTTTCATATGGGCTTCATGCCAATCATTGCCTAGGAAAATTATTTTTTATCAATGGGTTTGATGCATGTGGGACATTTGATATGGCCCAATTAGGGGAGCAACATAATTTCCTTTGATGAAGACCACTCTTCTAAGAATTCCCGCCTAGGTGCTAAGCGGTTAATCACCGTCCTGATTAATATCTAGGTATTTAAAAATCAAGAAATGACGTCTAGACTTGTTTAGGCATCTACCTAACCCGCCTAAGCACCTACCTACGTTGCGACTCTCACTTATACAAAAAAATAGATAATTTTCATTTTGTATTTTATTTTTTCAATAAAATGTAAGAAACTTGTTGAATACTTGAATAAACACTTATTATATGCTTGTCCCCATGTTACAATATGTTTTAATACTTTATAATTTATATATCATTTTATTTTGTAATATATGTATTCCAATACAATTATGTATTTTTTAAAGTATAAATAAGTACTTATTTATATGATATATAACAAATTTACTTAAATATGCCTAGTCCGCATAGGCTCCCACCTAGCCGCCTAGGCCCTCGACCCATGTCGACCGCCCAATTAGTGCCTAGCGTCCTTTAAAACCTTGATGTAGACTATAATGATAACGCGGTTCTCGAGTCATATGTGAGTTAGATCAGTTTATACGTCAAATGTATTTATCATATTATATAACAGTAAAGTATCATTCTTTATAGGCTATAGTTTAGAATGTCGGATTGTCTTCGAAACTGGTATTTGGATATTGAGGGTTGAGGATGATAATTATATTTTATGAAAAAAGTGGAAGAAATAAAGTTACCTCCTTGTAGATGAAGAGAATAGCTATGGAGACTAATGATTTACATTTACGTAAAAGTGATCAACCTATATATGTAATGATTCAGGTCACATTCATTTCTTTTTATTTTTATTTTGGACAAGCGATAAATGCTAAAAAGATTTTCTTATAAGTAAGGACTCTTCATTTTCCTTTAGGCATAATTTTTTTACCAATATTATAAAATGTTATTCCAAAAAAATAATGTAGCGAAGAGTATAAAAAATCTCGCTTTAAAAGAGTTTTCTTAACCTTTCTCTTAGACATGCACCATCCGATCAGAAACAAGAATTCCCCATACCCTAGAACTTATAGGTAGGTTGGTTTCTTTATTTGTTTTGTCACAACAGCCTTATAATATTTCTTTGGCGGCAAACAAAATGGGCCTTCCTAGTTCCTAGTAGAAGACATATCGAGCGAGCATTTCAAAGCGTGTGGATAACAAACCAAATTCCTATGGGATGCTATATTTTGTAAGCTATATAACATGAGTGTTAATAATTAAATTATTATTTAAGTGTTAATTAACGTATTTATTTTTTATTGGTAACGCATTGCAAGATTTGACCAAATTATACGACCAGAATTATAGGAAACATTTGTATAATTCGTAAACCAGTAATAACTAGTATAGGAAACAGATTTTACAAAGATTTTTCTTCTTCTTATTTTGTCACAAGGTATGCAAAATCATCAGGAGTGCTCTATAAAGTCCACAGCTACGGAGAAAACTTATAGATCAGTCAGCAAAACCTTATACAATAATATTAATAATATAATTTGATCATAATAATATCATTACTTACTAATAAATTAACCAATTAATTAAGCAGGTACCAAATATGTTCTTTTTCTTCTTTCTTTTTCTGCAAGCAAAGGGCAAGCTTCATGAGAGTTGAACAACACAGCAATGTCCACAGAGCTCTTTCTCTCCGTCTTCCTCCATCGGCTCCATGCTCGTCCATGCATCGTTGGTTGCAGCAGTATCGAATTTATGAACGATCGACATTGTTCTTGATAATTCCCTCTCCATCCCATACCCTGCCAAGAAGTATAAATCCACTCCAATGGGTGCCATTGTTAGGTAACGCCTTTGGCTCAGTGCCCAGTTTTGATCGTGAGTGCCCAATGCAGTGGGGCATTGCTGGTGGGACCCTTCAACTTCATTCCATATGTTGAGTTTGCCGTCGTAGGATTCTATGTGGCCTTTCCATTGCTTGTAGCAATCGCCCGAGCTGAAAAGCCGTCCATCGACGGCCAGGATTTGATTAGGTGGTACGTCCAGCTGCCACATCCCCACGATGAGGTCCCACTTCCCTACTCGCGGGTCGTACACCTCGGCGGAGCTGCGCACCATGATGGCCGGCACGTCCGAGTCAACCCTCTCTGCGAAACCCCCAACCACGTGGATCTTGCCCATCCACGTCACCCCAACGCACTTGTACCTCAACGTGCTCATGTCCGGCAGCGGAGTCCACCCGTCGAGGTCCGCATCGTACACCTCGGCGAACGGGATGCCCCTCGCGGGCGCTAGCGTGGTCTTTCCACCCGCCACGTAGATCTTGTTATCGGAGACCGTGCACGCGAAGTCGCACCGGCGGATGCCAAGTGGCGCGCACGTGGACCACTGGTTTGACCCGACATTGTAGCGCAAGACCGACGAGGAGACTTCAATGTCCATGTCGACAAGCTCGCTGGACTCGTCCGACGTGTGAGCTCTCTCCTTGTTACAAACCCTACCGCCAATTATGTATACCGAGTCACGTAAAGACACCATGGCAAAACCCTTGAGAACGTGATTCTCTGTGAGGCCTGGGATGGAGCTGGCGTGCGTCCACTTGTTGGTCGACGGATCATAGCATTCTATCCAATTAGAAATGTTTAGGTTTGGAGCGGGCTCTCTGTAGCAAAACGTGGCACAAACCCTAAAATTGGATAGAGAATTAGGGTTTGGTGAAGAGGGTGGTGGAGTTGAAGGTCTTGGGGGAGATGGGAGAGAACCCATTGGAGTTGCTTGGGAGGAGATCATATTAGGGTTTGTAAGTTTGTGTTAGTTTTGAGTTTTGGCAAATGGGAAATGTAATATAAGAGGTGAAGGGAAAATATAGATTGAGATTGCGGAGAATACCACAAATGTGTGGTTTGAGGACATCGACTAGAAACTAGGTTTGGTGTGAATAACTAGGGTTTCTTGTATTGAGTCGAATAGGTGTTAACATCATATTGTTTTGGCGGGTTATTGTCTCTTGCATTGTCGACTTCGTAAAATAATCAAGTTTTCCGGAGATTTCAAAGAGAAAGTAAGAGGGAATCGGATATCAGAGATTAAAGAAAAATGTGTGGGATTTGAGTCACTCTTGTATCTGATGGTTTTGGGTCTCGTTTTGATTGCGATCAATTGAGTTATATGACAGGGGACAGGGACAATATTTAGCATATCTAATTAACCAATTATCATAATATCATGTACTTTCCTTGGTTATGACAGGGGACAGGGACAATTTAGAGACGTTCGGAGTTATTTAGATGGTCAAAACAATGACGATGCGGACAATTTCTTTATTATTACGTCACTTATATACATTTGTATGGTATAGAAAACTCACACCTATGCTGGAAATTTTGAGGAGAAGAGTAAATGGTGAAGTGGTGATTAGTAATTTTTTTTTCACCTGGTTGGTTTTTCTTCTTCTTGTTCTACAGTTTCTACTATTTGGGAAACCTTACTACTTCATGTTCAATTATATACTCATTGAGGGAGCTCAAAATATCTACCGGAAAAAAATTGACAAATTAGCTCGTACAAAACAACAAAGGGAAAAAGATTAAATTGACTTTGTACCAAAGACATGTTTGCATTCCATGGATAATATCTTAACAGAGCTTAATTCTTCAAACAGAAGAGGAATTTAATTATTTATTTGTTGATTTTTTTCAATAAAATATCTATTGTCCCGTCGCGGTTTTTTTATTTTTAAATTACATATTTGTTGGAGTTTTGGAGATGGAAAGTGATATGAATTTAACTAAATTCCTCACTCACTAACTTAGTTGATGCTGGACTTAACCATAATCCACGTTAAGTTTTTTCAATATCAGTCCAATAATTGCTCTAATTCATGAGAAATTTCTTGTTTCTGATAATGGAAATAGGTAGACAGTTCAATGCAACAAAAGAATGCGACCCTTGTAGTGAGGATTTATCTACGCAAGGCTAAGTGGTACTTAAATAGAGATGGCTATTTATTTGTAACTTGTAAGTGAGTTGAACAGTCTGCTTGAACTGACTGTAAAACATATAAAACTTCTAATGTACAAATAGAAATCAAATTTTAATTCAAATTTGAATACTGTTATGACTAATTAACCTAGTTTACAACTGAACTAAACTACCATAATTGAATCAAGCTCAGATTTGCAAACTAGGTTTAGAAGTGCAGGCGTGGCACTGAGTGGTTGGCCAATCAACAGTTATGCTATGCTGAAATGTTTGCCATGTTAAAGGTTGCTCCAAGTCATTTTTGTCTCCCGTGATCTAAACACATGGGCTGACCTTTAATCACTAACAGTATCATATAATACATAAGAAAATCCAACCTAATAGAAAAGGTAAGCACAAGCACTGTTTGGACAGAAAGATTGGGAGAAGAGCTTATAGGGCATCAAGCAGCATCTGAAAAAGCACTTAAAGAAAATGCACTTAAAAAGGCCTCAGTAGGGCAAATCCACATGAGATCCTACTATATGATATTGATACGTTGAATATTATCTGGATTATATCTCACCCTTTCCTTTCTCAACAAGCCAACATAGAATCATCTCTTGGATTTGGGTTTGCTTATCAAGAAACTAATTTTCCAATTTAATATGTAAAAGTGCTTAATACTATATTTGTTTTTGCTCCTGGGATCTCATGACTTTATCTCTGCTTTTTATCATGCAGATTTTGAGATAGTAGAAAGTAGTCTTGACTTATTGGGGAATCAAACAGCAACCAAGGCATGTGACAACTAAATCATTCATGCTGGAGGGTGCAATTTTGTTTTTCTATACAAGACGTTTGGTTTTTATTAAAGGATGAATTGTCAATATGGTATATAGAACAAAGGAAATAGAAGGCCAGTATTGAGGAGGGAAGCTAGAAAAGCACATGATCAGATCACCAAGAAATGCACAAAGCAAAACCTCACACGAGAAATAAGTACAGGTTAAACAATTGTTTAGCTGACAGATTTGGATGTGAGCTTTGGCATGGATAATTCGGGCTGGCAAACATCGTTTTCAACCCCCATGTACCTAACCCTAAATTGCAAGATGCAACCTTGATCAAGACAAAGTCTCCATTGTCTTGAGGTCCCCCACGAAAACTTATCCCTAACCAAGAACCATTGAACGATGTCATCAAAGGGGACCCCGCTAGAAGAAAATGCCATTTGGCAAAACTTGACTCAAAATATTTCACTTACTGAGATAAACTTAACTACATTCGAAATGCTACTGTGACAATATATCATTTATCTACATACGTTATAGCTTTAAGTTGAGATTCTTCTTTTATTCAAATACATCCCACTTCATGTTAGTTCCTCCACTCGAGATGCATGGGTGGGCGTCCGTCCTTTATTCACATCCTTTATGTTTTGTAAAACGAGACTTCCTCTCTTATTCTCTAATACACAGAACTACTATCGAATACTTCATGTATATTCTCACACAGTAGTGTGTAATTGACTTATAATACAAAAACAATGACACCCTTCTTACACAACCGTGTATGATTGACTTATAACACAGCAACAATGACACGGGTTGCAGGAAAGTTATTCTCCCAAATCTAAGAAAAACCAAAACCCTAAACAGAGAAAGCTACGTAAGAAGAATAGCAGAGAAGTGCCAACAGCTGCCAAGGTCTAAGACAAGGTTTGCTCTGTGTGATGGAATGACAGATCATCCGAAATGGGACCTAGCTGGGCGGTGCGTGGTAATTAATAGGCACAGTCACAGACTGAGGAAAGTGCCACGATCAACTGTGGACAGAGACAAAATGGAATTTAATGAGCATATGGAAGAAAGCAACACGGCTTTGAAGACGATGACAAAAAAGAAGGACCTCCCGCATTTGCCTTGTATTGGAGACAAACCAGTTTTGAGGAAAAGGAAAACTCTGATTTGACTCTTCAATGTAGAGCTTCATTGCCCTTTTTTTTCACCTTGGAATTTGGATTTCCCCAATTTTTCATTGTCCGTTATTTTTATGATTTTGTGAATCTATATTTAAAAAGAAAGTACATGGGAAAGAACCCTAAATCCAGATTCTCTTTGCAATGGACATGTGATTTGAACTACGATGCATGGACGCAGACACGATAAAGATAGAAATACGATACGACACAATACGGATATACATCAAAATAACAAGAAGAATTAATGTATGACCACAACGGAGTATACAAAAATACGACACTGACATGAGATACGAGAGGATATTACTGTGTCCATGCATCTTAGGAGTTGATCTATGAGGTTTTTCTTCCTTCTCAAATAAGGGAAGATTAGAATTTTAAGTCATTTTTGATATTCAAGACATTCTTTTTAAAAACATGAGGAAGGAACTGTATTTTTATGCTTGCATAATGATTTTTTTGAAGTGTTAATAACATAATTGTTGTTTCCAATCGAAAAAGCCAGCTTTCAATCAAACAACTACACTCTTGGTATGCCATCGTGGTATCCTTGACCAATAATGTGTTGTTGTGTTAGAACGTGAAAATACATGGTATCATTTGAAACGGTACCATACAGTGTAAGTCCTTCTCGAGGTGAGGGCTTCCACTAATTGCTGGGGGCTAGAGGGTTAAAGGTCACGTAAAAATTCCTAATAAAGCAGATGGTCATACGGCTTCAAATAGGGAAAAAATGTAAAGACCGTGGAAAAACCGTGAAATAATTGATTCGTTATGTGCTAAAGCCATATTCTGATAGTGATACGACATTCGGCTCACTGCCCAGTGTACCTCCTCCCTCCCTCCCTCCCTCCCTCCCTTTCTCTCTCTCTCTCTCTCTCTCTCTCTCTCTCTCTCTCTCTCTCTAGAGCTAAGATGGTGGAATTTGAGCATCCCAACCCAACGTAAATTTCAAGAAAAAAGTATATCAGTTTGCAGCAGGACAGCAGCTTGCAGCTAATGCTGCACAGCTTACTTTGAAAGACCCAAAAGATTGCATTCACCATCTAACCCTTTCTCCAAAAGCTTGTTTCTCCCCTCCTTTTTATGCCTTTCCAGTTTCCACAAACACATTTTTCTTCAAGAGAATTGCACCCCATCTCTCAAATTCTTCAAAGAAAGTGAAAAAAGAAGTTATTTCCGCTGTTCTTATTGTTCTATGAATATGGGTTTGGTGGGAAGATTGGTGTGGGTGAACGCGTACAGCAGGAAGCGGTGCAGGAGCTTGTTCTGGAGAGTGAGAGCTGCATTGAGGAAGGCTATCAAGAATTCTGGGAAGCAGCGGCTGAGGACGTTCCAGTATGATCCTTCGAGCTACGCCCTGAATTTCGACGACGGAAGCTGGAAATCAGGGGAGGGTGCAAATGCTGCTTTCAAACATGCAAGACCTCAGCGTTGTTCGGTTTCAGATTTGGATATCGGCAGTTCCGGGTGGGTTTATGTTCTTTGGGTGATTTCCGAGTGATGGTTTTGGAAGAATAGGGCGGAAGAAAGTAAATTGTTCTTTTTTAAAAACTTTTTTCGTTGTGTTTATGTTGTGTTCAAAAGCTCCATGCTTGTTAAAAAGTACGGTCGTTGTCAAATGATGAATGAATCCAGATTAGGCCAATTGGTCGGGGCAGTGTGTTCTGACGGAAAATACCCGCTAATTCTTTATATTTCTCCCTTCACATCTATTTCTTCCTTGTTTATGCTACGCCTTGAACAGCCATCCACAATCTCTCAACAATATAAATAAAGAGATGTTATAGACAAGCATTTGTACAAATGTTAAGAATGCCACGTAATCGAAAATCAAGAAGAAATGATCACAGAACGCAATGAAACAGCATCCAAGAGGAATGTAGATAGGGTCATTTTTTGCAATAAAGGTACATACATCATTTGTCATCCCATGAGAAAGCCTAGACGGAACCTAATCCTCCATCTCTCCACGCAGGGAGGTCGGAGGTCATC